CAATATAGTATGATTTTCTCCTATACAGAAGAGGTGGGATCAAGTGGGCGTCCGATTCCGAGTGATCGAAATACAGCTGACCAAAGAGGACCGTCCAAAGTGCATTAAAGTATCAAAATGAGGATTAAATCGGAGAGGAGTGAAAAAGATGTCTGAATATGGTGGGTGGTAAGGCCTAAAGAGACGGAATGCTTAGTTTCCATTTGTTATGGTCAGCTATGTACAGAGCAGGACATCAAACATGAACTGGAAGAATGAAAACAAGAGTGAATGGAGAAAAATTTACGAATCAAAAAGAATAACATCTTCATTCAGAAGTCGGCTCTTGATCGCCACGAGGTCTCTTTGGTTCCGGGCCATCAAGGGAGGAGGAGGAGGATGCGGCTGTTGTGACCTTAGATGTATCGGATAACGGCTGCTCGGAGATTTCATCAACTGCGTTCACCAGGGGTGGTGGGGATGGGGTGGTGCAACAACTCGGTTCAAGTTCTTTAGGTGTAGGTGGAGGAGTGCGCGGTTCCACCGGATGCGGATGTTTGCCAGAACACGATGAGGAGGACCGAGGAGAACGTGGGTGCGTACTCGAATTTGCACGACGTTGCGACACTGGATGCGAGTCAGGATGATGCAACATACGGTCGAGGATTTGGTCTCCAGCCTCATCGGTGTGTAGCGTCATGGACAGAGACTTTGTCTTCTCGCTTACGGTGGAACTGTGTCTGCTGTTCTCATCATTGTCATCATCCTCAGTGTGATTATGCTCTTCATCCTCCGCAACATCATCATCAGCATCAGATCGTTCCGGCGAAAGAGAGCTTTCACGAGAGCTTAATATCATACTCATCTCTTCATCCTGGCTGATGTACACCTCTGCGCCCGAGAAAACGTACTGATTGGGCGGAATGCGAGTGAAAGACCCCACTGTTTTCAATGGATAAGGGGAGGGAGTGAGCGAAACATTTTATATTCATTTACGGTCGAGCTAAGACGGCTAAACAGAGTATGAGTGGGAGAGTGAAAAATTCTATGCATGATTACCATTTGCGAGGTGATGTTGGCTACACATGGAAAGCTCTCAGGGGAATATACAAGTTACACACTTTAGAAATTGAATATTAGTAAACCTCGATTCAGCTCAAGACTTCGTATACTTTTCAATCTGTAGTGAACATGAAACATACCATTCTTTCGATATTCTGTGGAAATTATATTTTATATCATTTCAATGAATTATGAAGAAAAGCCATACTCATAACAAGTTGCATGAAGAGACGTTAGAAGAGCATTGTAAAATATCGCACATTAGATACAGCCAATTTTATTTAGAGTACCATGTTTGGATTAGCCCATTCAATTGCGCATAGACAATTTTACATTACAAAGCCTTTATTAAGGACGCATATGTGAGTTATGAACTTTTTACTGCAACGTTTTGATCTAAACTAGGACTCATTATCAAATCTCAATGATACGGCTAACTTTTTTAATCAAGGCATATGCTTTTCCCGTTACTCTGATAAAAATTAAGCAGATGAGGGTCAGGAATCTCCGAGTAACGTAAACATTTGAAGAATGAGGTGAATGAACATTACCTAGCAACGCAATCAGCAAGATATCAAAATCTGGCATAGACTGCGTACGGATTTGCGAAATACATACAGTTCATTAACATCATCCCACGAGCAATGCAGAAGATTATTATAGTAGGCGACTTCATGGTTACCCGGATAAGCAGAACACCTATTTAATCGCAATTTCCTTATCCGAATCCCGGGACTCAGACTAAAAGTTCAAATAGCCGAACAGTGCTTGCGATTCACTCAACATTCATCCCTTCTAGCGTCTATTGCAATTCATGATTAAAACAACAAATGAACAAACGGTTGGTGGTATGAATCCGCATCCTACAGTTAACTGATTAGTTGTATGCATGTATGAACTGAATGCAGTATGGAAATTGACGAGTGCTCCTAGTGACGGTAACCGAATTGTCCAGTTCATCGTTATTGGACTATTGTTTCTATGCCAGCCTCCCTGTGGCTAATCCATTTTCAGAGGTGAGCAACTCTACTGTGACTCCGCCAAATTCACATTACTGGGGTATTAGACGTTACATCAAGTTAGGTAGGGAGATTTGGAATGATGATCATTATTCTCACTATGATTCACATTACATGTTCAGTAGAGAACACAGTCGTAGGGACGCATCATCCACCCTGTTTATTACATACTTTTGTATTGTGAACAACAGACGGGGTGGACCCCATGGTCACGAAGACCAACTGTTCAGTCATGGGAAGCGGCAACCTAATCCCCGGGACCTGGAGCGGCGAAACACAGAAGGTTGGGCGTGTATACTAGTCGCTCAAACCCAAAACAATGGCTAAGTAGAGATTCAGATGCAACCATTGCGTGCTGATCATCACGTAAAGTGTGCAATGGTATACCGAACAAGAGTGACGGCTGC